AAACAGTGCTGCTTCTCGATCTAGCAACCTAGCTCTAACTAGTTAAGGGAAAAATGCCTTTTTATTAAACCCTTAAAAGTACTTAACAACCATCAAATCACACATAATGGAGAATCGCAGGGAGGTCAGGCACCAGACAGCAAGGTGTGGAAAGGAAATTAGACATTGGTAGGCCCAGGAGGGGAGGCATAGGGGTCTGTTATGTCTTAGGCCATAGCTGCCTGCGGTTGATTCCGCAGACCCTGAAGAGAGATCAGACCTTGGACAGATGAACAGCAGAACAGGGGGGGGGGACTGAGCTCTGTAACCATACTGCACTGGAAAGTGTCTCCTCCCAGAACTGCTACATATTCTACAAAACACATAATGCTAGTGTAATGTTCTCTTTTAATAATCCTGCATATACACATTTAACCTCAAAGATTAAAATTAGTGACTGTTATATATTTACACATTAAATGGAGATCATCTATAAACAGATTTTGTTTGGTGTTTGGGCTGTGGGAAAGTGCACTCGTGATTTTATTCTGATTTCGAGATAAAAAATAAGTGCATGAATCAAATTGCGTGATGTTTTTAGTGTTTATAGTGATAATGAACATCAATCAAATGTTAATACATTAGGGTTATTCTCATACAAATAAACAGTGAGTCCCCATAAAGATATGAATACATGGACTGTGTATATGTGTGTGTGCAGAAGTCCCCACGTGTGACTCATTTGCCTTAAATATGAAGTCCATTTTGATATTTAATTGTTGCGTACTGATACATTTCCTGTTATACACTCAGAAAGACTTTTAACTAGTTTAACTATGAAGTCATATACTTTATGACACATGCGTCCACATTCTCCTTTAATGAAATGCAATTGAAAATAGGTTCAAATAATTAATATTTGTATTTATTAATTTACATCACCATGTTCTATGTTTCTGTGGCCGGAAACACATTTTACACAGGCTAGCAATTTTACGTGCAATAAACATACATCTGATTAATGTTCCTGTGGATTGAAATCTTGTAACTATGGTTGTCGATAGATCAGGTATAATTTAAGCCAAGCCCCGAGTATTTTCGATGCTAATCTTTAACTTTTCCATTCAAAAGAGGGAAAAAAAAAGTCAAGCCCCGGATACACTTTACCTAGCCCCTAATCTTTTGGTGGATTCCATTTGCCCTTGGAACTCGGATTCCAAGTTGGATTCCAAGTTTTGAAGCCTGAAGTGATAACATGTGCACTCCCTTTTCTCGGAGATCCAAGAAATATTTTGGAGCAGCACAGAGGATCCCGAGTTCAGAATCCAAGGTGGCTGCGCCCTTTATCAACAGAAGTGATAGTTTTATACTGATTAAACGCTACTTCTCATTTGTGGCTCACACTATACCATCCAATACCATCCAACTTATCTGTGGACATGTTGCTATGGAGTTTTATACATAAAGCACCGCGCGTAATGTGTTATCAACTGATATTGCTAACAATGGCTAACAATTATCTCTCCTGGAGCCGACTAGATATAGTTGGGCTCACCTCGTCGCACAGCTTTGGCTCTAGAACCAGTCTTCTTGCTGTCCCGTTGGACCCTCTTCCACTCTGGAGTTGCTCGCGGGGAGAGGCGCCGAGCAGGGGTGGGCATACTTATTGCCCCCTGGCTGGACGCCTATACATTGGGGTTTACCGTAGTGGGCAAAAAGGTAGCCTCCCTTCACCTTCGGGTGGGGGGACGGGTCCTGACTGTTGTTTGCAAACGGCAGTTCAGAACACCCACCCTTTCTGGAACGGCTCCCCCGATCTGAACCTGAGCGGTACTTTGTTGTTGGACTTCTGTGCTCGTCACAGATTGTCCATAATGAACACCATGTTCAGGCATAAGGGTGTCCATATGTACACTTAGCACCAGGACACCCTAGGCCGCAGTTCGATGATCGACTTTGTAGTCAACGTCGGACTTGCAGCCGCATGTGTTCAGGTGAAGAGAGGGGTGGAGCTGTCAACTGATCACTACCTGGTGGTGGGTTGGCTCCGTTGGTGGGGGAGGAAGCCAGCCAGGCCTGGCAGACCCAAGAGTATAGTGAGGGTCTGCTGGGAACGTCTGGCGGAATCTCCTGTCAGGAGGAGTTTCAACTCCTACCTCCGGCACAATTTCTCCCGTGTCCCGGGGGAGGCCGGGGACATTGAGTCCGAATGGGCCATGTTCCGCTCCTCTATTGTGGAGGCGGCTGACCAGAGCTGTGGCCGTAAGGTGGTCGGTGCCTGTCGTGGCGGCAATCCCCGAACCTGCTGGTGGACACCGGTGGTGAGGGATGCCATCAGCTTTTTAGCCTGCGGGACTCCAGAGGCAGGTGACAGCTACCAGGAGGCTAAGTGGGAAGCGGCTTCGTCGGTCGCTGAGGAAAAAACTTGGGTGTGGGAGGAGTTTGGCGAAGCCATGGAAAACGACTTCCGGACGGCTTCGAGGCGATTCTGGTGTGGCTCTGGGCGGGAAAGCGGTGCAAGATCAACACTGTTTATGGTGGGGATGGGGTGCTGCTGACCTCAACTCGGGACGTTTTGGGTCGGTGGAAGGAGTACTTCAAAGACCTCCTCAATCCCACCGACATGCCTTCCAACATGGAAGCAGAGTATGAGGAATTGGGTGTGGACTCCCCTATCTCTGGGGCAGAGGTCGCTGAGGTGGTTAAAAAGCTCCTCAGTGGCCGGGCCCTGGGGGTGGATGAGATCCACCCAGAGTTCCTTAAGGCTCTGGATGCTGTGGGGCTGTCCTGGTTGACACGCATCTGCAGCATCGCATGGACATTGGGGGCAGTGCCTCTGGACTGGCAGACCAGGGTGGCGGTCCCCCTCTTTAAGAAGGGGGACCGGAGGGTGTGCTCCAACTATAGGGGGATCACACTCCTCAGCCTCCCTGGTAAGCTCTAGTCGGGGGTTCTGGAGAGGAGGGTCCGCCGGATTGTCGAACCTCGGATTCAGGAGGAGCAGTGTGGTTTTTGCCCTGGCCGTGGAACAGTGGACCAGCTCTATACTCTCCGCAGGGTTTTGGAGAGTTCATGGGAGTTTGCCCAACCACAATTTCTAGGTGCAGCCAGGGCGTTGAGGGTGTCCGGTTTGGTGACCTCAGGATTAGGTCTCTGCTTTTTGCAGATGATGTGGTTCTGTTAGCCTCATCGGACCGTGACCTTCGGCTCTCACTTGGACAGTTCGCAGCGAGTGTGAAGCGGCTGGGATGAGAATCAGCACCTCCAAATCTGAGACCATGGTCGTCAGCCAGAAAAGGGTAGAATGCTCTCTTCGGGTCGGGGATGGGGTCCTCCCCCAAGTGGAGGAGTTTAAGTATCTCGGGGTCTTGTTCACGTGTGAGGGGACGATGGAGTGGGAGATCGACAGGCGGATTGGTGCGGCCTCCACAGTGATGCGGGCGCTGCATCGGTCTGTCATGGTGAAGAAAGAGCTGAGCCAAAAGGCAAAGTTCTCGATTTACGTTCCTACCCTCACCTATGGTCACGAGCTGTGGGTAGTGACCGAAAGAACGAGATTGTGAGTGCAAGAGGCCGAAATGAGTTTCCTCCGCAGGGTGGCTGGGCTCTCCCTTAGAGATAGGGTGAGGAGCTTAGTCATTCGGGAGGGACTCGGAGTAGAGCCGCTGCTCCTCCGCATTGAGAGGAGCCAGATGAGGTGGCTCGGGCATCTGATTAGGATGCCTCTTGGACGCCTCCTTGGTGAGGTGTTCCGGGCATGTCCCACTGGGAGGAGGCCCCGGGGAAGACCTAGGACACACTGGAGGGACTATGTCTCTCGGCTGGCCTGGGAACGCCTTGGGATTCCCCCAGAGGAGCTGGAAGAAGTGGCCAGGGAGAGGGAAGTCTGGGTTTCCCTGCTGAGACTGCTGCCCCCATTACCCAACCTGGATGGATATACTGTATATATACATAAGTGTGTGTGTGTGTGTATGTGTGTGTGTATGTGTGTGTATATATATATATGTATGGAATGTAGATGAATGTTGTGCACAAAAGGCAGTTATGTACGGTATTGAGAAAAAGTGCCAGTGAAGTGTCTATGAAGTATTAGTGGTCAGTGTTCAGCAGTCTGATGGCCTGATGGAAAAAGCTGTCCATCAGCCTGCTGGTTCGGGACCAGATACTGCAATAGCTCCTGCATGATGGAAGTAGTTTAAACAGTTTGTGACTGGGGTGATTGGAGTCCTCCCCGCTTTCCTCAGACACCGGATCCTATAGATGTCCTGGAGGGAGGGAAGCTCACCTCCAATTATCCTTTCAGAACACTGGAACTCGTCGGTCGCCTGCGCCTTGGCCGGCTGTGGCTACGCCTTTGCCTGCCACAGCTTCTGTCCCCTTCACCTTCCTCCTCGCCTCCTCTGGCTGTCCTTCCAACTCCCTCCTCACCCCCTTTGGCATTTCCTCCGGCTCCTGCCTCGCGGTCGCCGAGGGTCCCTCCTGCTCCGGCCTCGCAGTCGCCTGTTGCCCCTGCAGCTCCCACTTTCTGCCTGCCAGGGTTCCTTCCGGCTCCCTGTTTTCCCCCGCCCTTTGCTTTCTTGCCACCTGTGTTTGTTCCCCATCCCTCTGTGCCTTTATTCCCTCCTGTTGGGATACTCTGCATTGTGTTTTGACATATTGGTGATGTCACATGGCATGGTGCGGGAGGGGCAGGCCAGGCCCGGGACCCTCCTGTTGGGATACTCTGCATTGTGTTTTGACATATTGGTGATGTCACATGGCATGGTGCGGGAGGGGTAGGCCAGGCCCGGGACCCTCCTGTTGGGATACTCTGCATTGTGTTTTGACATATTGGTGATGTCACATGGCATGGTGAGGGAGGGGCAGGCCCAGGTGAGGCACAGCAGCAGCATCTGCGTGCCAGTCTGACTTCAGCTTTTCTGACCCGGTGGGGAGTGCAGTATGATGGGGGAGGTGGGGGATGGTGAATACAGTCTGGATGTGAATACGGCTTAAACAACAAAATAAAACTAAAGACTTGCTTGTATGTCTAAATCATAAAAAACTTTATTTTTACTTAAAGAAAAAACAGCAAAGAAAAAAGCAAACAAACCTTGCACTGTATTACAGATCCTTCCTTACTTTCCCATAAACATAGGAAGGAGGTTCTTCTCCCTTCATAAACACAGAGAGCTTGCATTTGTGTGAAACACTTTACAATAGTCACAAATGACACTTTTCAATGCTGGAACCATAAAACATGGGTAAACAGAACAAAATTATAGCATGTAATATTTAACCAATTACTGCCTTAGTTAAAGTTATCTGCTCTGAAAGAACTTGTACTAATGAACATTACCATAGCGGACAGTACGACTTAAAATACAGCTTTGGAAAAAATTAAGAGACTACTCCATATTTTTTAAGAATCTGCATTTTTAAATCCGGGTTTAATCGTGGTTCTGCTGGCAGAGGCTACAAAATATCTAGGACAGCAGTAGACATGAACAATGTGAAGCAGGAGACACTGGGATGTGACGTCCCATAAAGCAAGGAAGAAGCCCTTCATTCATGAGAAACAGAGAAGAACCAGGCTGCAGTTTGCAAAAAAAAATATATATATATTATTTAGACCACACCCATAAATTGGGAAATAAATTAAACAAAAAAATGTGCTGTGGTCTCTTAATTTTTTTCAGAGCAGTATTTTTACTCATCTTAATTGAAACTATTTTTTAAAAATCATCCAGTTTTTTTGGACTATTTGATTTGCCCACTAGATGTCACTTGTGTTGAATCTAGCCTAATAGTAATATACAGTATTTGTGTGATTATGTGTGTGTGTGTGTGTGTGTGTGTGTGTAATATATAATTCTTATACAATTATATTGATTATTTACATGTGTTTTGGACTATAGCATTTAATTCAAGATATATAATAAATGTAAAAAACGTTTTGTTTTGTTATATGTGATGCTCTGTAAAAAAAAATAGTTCTCAAACTATTTTCTTCTGGTGAGGAGAAATTAAAATCTGTTGCTGGATATGGTAACATACAAACAGTAATATTGCATTTCATATAAAACATAAATTCTGACTTTTATGGCTTTCATTTAATTTATTTTCATTTCACCTACCAGTAATCATTCCCTTCGGCACACAAAGCTTTCATTTTTGTCACATTCTCTACAAAAGCACTTTGTATTGGTTTTAAAGTTGTTTCGATGGACTGGAGTTGGCCCTTCTTCTCTGACATTTGGAGAACACATTTAAAAATTTCCTCTAATACTGTCATGAGGGGCTCAAACAAAATAAACTTCCTGGTCTGTGCCTCGCCTACTTTAGCTATCCCAGCTATATCAGTCAAAACCCTGACTGCGTTCCTGAATTTCTCTTGGATATCGGCTATAACAAAGCGCTGCTGTGTGACGTCTTCTATGGTTCTTTGTAATGACTCCAAACAGGTGTTAACTTCAGAAATCTCCTGTGTCTTCTGGTTGATCTTAGTCTGACAGTCAGAAACACCTTGAGAACTACTTGCCACTTGACGCTCCCAGTTGTAAACTTCATTTTGAGCCTGATTTTTAGCATCATTCGCGTTGTTCAGATCTGTCTGGTAGACCCCAACCAGGGTAGCTCCTGTAAAACAAGAGTTAAAAATCAAACAGAAGACAATGTAATTGCCATGCATGGACAAAAGCTTTGAGATCACTTTGTTTCTGGCTTGAGTAATACTTTGAATAACATTTTTTTTCCTTAAAATATACCTGACCAATTTTAAACTTGCTATAAAATATGGTATGCATGCATGATAGTAAACATGATATTAGTATGAAAAAGCAAAGTCTGCAAATGTTTCACTTACCAATTATGGTTCCAACGCATGGAATAAACATCAGACCGATTCCAGTGTTCCTCACAGCTTCATCGTTCTCCATTCTTCTACGCATCTCATCAACTTTTGCCTTTGTTGCTTGTAAGTATGTATTTGCATTTTCTAACGATTTCTGATGCTCCTGTAGTATGTTTTTCTGACTTGCAAGCTGGTCTTGTAGGTTTTTGTATTCAGTTTTCTTGTCATCCTGTTGTCGTTGCAGTTTTCCTTTCTGTTGGGTTAATTCCTCAGACTCTTTATCTATACTGGCTAAAATACCAGAAGCTCTTTGCTCTGCTTGCACAAAGTTATCCTTCCCTTTAACAATTAAAGAACGAAGCTCATCGTATTTGTTCTCCGTTTTGCCTTCATTAGTAAATACAACGACTGAAAGATTATTAAAGCAAAGGATGCCCTCTTTCAGCAGCGGTATTACGGTCACCACGAACATCTCCTCTTTGTTGGAAAGGCTGACTTCCTGACCAGACATTTTTTTCCCACTCTGATCTCTTTGTAAAACTTTTGCTTGTATATGTTGCTGTGATCCTCAGCCTTTACAACTGCGTGACTTTGCAGTGAGCTGCAGTAGTTCACATGACTTCAAAAGGGCGTGAAGGGCCATGAGTCACGCCCACTTTGATGGTGCAGCTGTACATTAAGCAATGAGCAGTTTAGGCTTAATGGGAAAGAAAAACAAAGAAAAAAATGAAAGACACTGTACAATTTACATACTCTTGAAAGAAATATACCTGTTTCAGTTAGTATTACTTTTAAACTAGAGGGGGTTAGTTTAGGACGTATTTACTCGGGTGTTGCACAGAGGTGGATGCAAGGCAGGAGAAAGTCTGAAAATAGCAAAGACAACATAAGAGATTTTTAACTGACTCAAAATAGGAACATATGTTTTTTAAAAAAGAAAAAAATAGAATATGGAAAATGAGAAGAGCATGAAAAAGACGAGCAAATGTGTTTTTTTATATTTAAACCTGAATTTCATACTTATTTTTGGCTTACTTTTAGTTTTGGAATGATTGTTTAGCAGAGAGAATAATCTTGGGTGATTTTGGTGTTCCTGAAATGCATTTCATAATTATAATTCATGTGATTCACAATACCTCTGAAATTTATACAGCTAAAACTAAGTTACCATCATTTGGTTGGTAAGTGATCATACCTGTATGACAGCTACAGTAACACCTCAGAATTAAATGAAACCATAATTAAATTCACACAAACCAATGTAAATTATGGATTATACCGACATATAAGATGTTTTGATGGTATTTCTCCAGAAGGTCCCAACAATCAGTATTAATGTAGCTGATCAAGCTTTTCTCTAGAAATGGTATGTTTCTGGTTCTTTTTAGAATAAATGTGAAATGTTTACACAATGTCTACACATATGTTACACACATTCCCATAATCCTTTCTAGAATAAGCAGTTGAGGATGGGTGCAAATACAAACTACATTTACTGAAAATGCTAAAACCTGTTTGAGATGCAACCTGTTTACACAGAAATCTGTTTGCAGTATCAGCACATTTTACCATAGTTAGTTAGATCAGTTCAGACTTGTCTCCTCAGAAGCAGAAGTGGCTTGTTATGCTTGCATTTCTGTGTTTTTTTTCCTCCATGAACTTGTGATTCATATTTGGTTTACATGCCAGCTTAAAAGTGAATTCACTAAGAATATTGAACATAAATCCCAAACCAGACAAAGGATGACTGTCCGGGTAAATGTCAATTTTTTGGGACAGAAATGATTCAAAGAGTTTTTATTCTGGACTGCTTATACCCAGAATTAAATGACACTGTATTCAGCACAAACACAATAATTAAGATTTAAAGCCAGAGCTTGGCTTTAGTAAAACTGTTTTTCTCAGTGCTGGAGTGCAGACAGTATAGGATAAAATAATTTAGTGAAGGCTCAGTAAACATTTATGTATTTATCTCTCAAGCTTCACTAATGTTTCTCAAAAACTTAATCCTTCCAATTACAACAGACCATAATGTTTAGGATGTTTTCTGATTAACAATAAGCATATGTTATACATCTAGAACGCAAAATGCAAAGCTCTTTAGGAATGAACTTAAATGCAAGTGTGCACTTACTTAACTGAATCTAGACTGCATGATCTTAAGATTAGCAAGTCGCAAAAATTGCGATTTAGGATATACATGATACACCACGTCGGACCTAGGGTTTAAAACTGCTGTGAGAATAGTTCTACAAATTCATGCCGTACTCCCTGTGTGACAGTCATTCTCACCAATCACAAGCGCCGTGCTTCTCGCGTGCCAGTCATGCTCACCAATCAGGCGTATAGGCCCACAAACAGCAAACACGTGAAACCCAAGTAATATGTTACATTTGCGGTGCGGAAAAATACTGATTCCGCTACTGAGCTATACACTGACCTAAAGGATTTTTAGGAACACCTGTTCAATTTCTCATTTATGCAATTATGTAATCAACCAATCACATGGCAGT